ATGGTGGTGTGGTGGTGATGGTGGTGTGGTGGTGATGGTGGTGATGGTGGTGTGGTGGTGATGGTGGTGATGGTGGTGATGGTGGTGATGGTGGTGATGGTGGTGATGGTGGTGATGGTGGTGATGGCGGTGATGGTGGTGGTGGTGGTGATGGTGGTGGTTTGAGAGCCTCATCTATCCTAGTTCAGGGGCCCAGTTGTGCAATGTTTCAACCCTGACATAAACCAAGAAGCACCCAGGCAGATGTGTGCCAGCTGCAAGCCAGAGAAGGCAAGGGCAGAGTGCCCCTGCTTACCTGAGACTCAATAATGAGCTCTAAATGTACTTTCACACCGAAACGGATTTTCACACTGAAAATGAACCATAATGGCAGATTTCTTTCAATTTCTGCAGACACACTTAGATTAAAAATGGTCTCCATTTCTTTGAAATTCAAATTTGATCGGGTATGTTGTATTTCTACTTGCTAAGTTTGACAAAGATGGAGAAAAGTGTGGAAACCACTAAGGGTGAAATTAGTTCATTTTTATAAAACATAAAAGCATAAATTAGAAAAAGATTTTGATCTCCTGTTTTGAAGGACTGCACCTCTAAAAAAAAAAAAAAGAAAAAGAAAAAGGCAAACGGCCACGTAATGAGTATACTTAGATAACGCATGGGGCACAGATGACTCAGCCCTGTGTTTGTTGACAGGGCTCATGCTGAGACGACAACGCTTTGGAAGGACACCCACAGGCTGCTGAGATGACTTTCTCAGTGATGTGACTGGAGAAGCGTCACGAGGGGAGAATTAGCTTGAGTGCACGTGTGATGCTGAAGACTGAACCTAAGGCCTCTGTATGCGTAATGGACAGATGTTTTACCACTGAACCGTTTACCCAGTCTTCCCTTCTCCATTTGTTTGTTTATTTAATTTTTGACACAGGGTCTTACTATCTAACTTAGTTGGCTTTGAATTCACTTCGTAGCCTAGGCTCTCCTCAAATTCAGGGTCCTCCTGTTTCAGCCTTCCTTTTTAAATAGTTGTGTGGTGTGCAAATATGTGTGTGAAGGTCCATGCTCCCACATGTAAAGGCCAGAGATTGCTATCTTGGTATTTTTTTTTTCTTGATATGTCTCTGCCTTGTTTTGGGATAGGGTCTTTTGCTGATCTTAAACTCACCATTTTGTCTAGACAGGCTGGCCAGTGAGTCCCTGAGACTCACCTGTCTCCATTTCCCTAGCACATGGAAGTTTCCAGAATGAGTCATTGTGCCTGACTTTTGCATGGTATCTTCAGATTTGAACTCATATTCTCAGGCTTGCACAGTAAGCTCTTTAACCACTTATTCATCTCTTTAGCCCCTGACTCCTTCACTTTTCCTGAGTGTCGGTATTACAGGAATTCACCACTATACCTTAGTGTGCTGGTTAGTTTTTTTGTTAACTTGACACAAGCTATGGTCATCTGGGAAGAGGGACCTCAGATGAGAAAACTATCTCCATCACATTGGCCTGTAGCAAATTCACATGGCATTTTCTTGATTGATAATTGCTGGGAGAAGGGACCAGTTTGCTGTGGGCGGTACCACTGGTGGGCTGGTGGTCATGGGCACTATAAGAAAGCAGGCTGAGCAAGCTATGAGGAAGATGCAAGCCAGTGAGCAGCATTCCTCCATGACCATCAGTTCCTGCTGCCAGGTTCCTGTCCTGCCTTCCCTAAGCAGTAAGGCGAGATAATCCTTTCCTCTCCAAATGTCTTAAAAAAAAAAACAATCATTTGGAACAATCATTTGGCATAGCACTGGTACCTAATGTCTTTAATCTCAGTACTGGGAAGGTAGAGGCAGGTGGAGGTCTCTGAGTTCAATGCCAGCCTGGTCTATAAAGCATAGTTCCAGGACAGCCAGGGATACACAGAGAAACATTGTCTTGGAAAAAACAAAAACCCTAAACCAAACCAACCAACCCAAACCCAAACCCAAACCGAAAACCTAAACAACCAATCAAACAAGCAAAACTCCATAGCAAAAGAAGATTGCCTTGGGTGGAAAACTCAGGATGAGAAGGCCAGCTCTGGGTACACTAGAGGTAAGCCAACAGCCACTTTCACACCTGGAGCCAGGGCCTTCTGCATTATCTTCACCTGGAGGGAGTTCACTGATAGCCCTGGGCTTCCATCATTCACTCTATAGCCTTGGAGTGAGTGTTGCCATGTGTAGGGCTTGATACAGATGGAGACACAGAGAGGAGAGAGCCAGTTCTACCCTCAAAGGTCACCCAGTGACTAGGAGGTGATGCACAAACCAGGTAGCTGGAGAGAATGCACAAAGACACACAGAAGCAGGAGGAAGCATCAGAGGAGCTGGCCAGCCACAACACTGGGAAGCTCCCCCTGCCCCAAGGCTGAGGTGCTTTAAGACACTGTGCAGCAGGTTCCCAGCCAGGAGAGGAGGCAGTTAGGGGTGAGGGGAGAACAAGGTACCTGGTGCTCATTTAGAATGGGCAAAGGAAGTAAGATTTGGCACTGACAACAGTTCCGGAGAATGTCATAGGCCCTCTCTCCTTTAGGAAGAGCAGCCCTCTGCTGGAGCCCAGACTTCAAAGGCAGATCCAGAACGCCATTTTGGTCCTTTGTCTGTCGCTTTGTTGAACTGTTTCTATGTTTTGTCTTTGGACGAACATCTTTACTCACTGTGGGCATTCGATTTCCTGTGCCCATAAACGGAAGGGGTGGAGGAAGGACTACTGTCTTTCCATCCCGAAGATATACCACATTTCTTGAACATTGTTTCTGCAAATGGAATAATGTGTGAAATTTAAAAAGCAGTTACTTCAGCTGTAATAGTCGGACAAGACAGCTGAGATAACCTGAAAGGCTTCCCCCTATAAACACTTAGGAATGACGGATAAAGTCTAGCAAGATGGCTCTGTGGGTAAGGATGCTTGTTGTCGAGCCTGAAGACATGTGTTTGAACGCTGGAACTCAAACAGTAGAAAGAACTTATCCCTACAAGACTTTCACTCAGCAAACACAGAGTAAGTTAGTTTTTTTTTTTTAAATGCTGGATAATATAAGGCATACATTCAATTTTACAGCTAACTTTGCTAGAAGAAAAAAGACTCAGGTTCCATGGATGAAAATTTGGATACATCCCTCTAAAATCCAGGTTTTGGGGCCCGGAAAGATGGCTCAGTCTTAAAGGGACTTGTGCTCTTTCAGAGGATCCAGGTTTGGCTGGTGTTCAGCACTCATGCCAGGCAGCTCACAGCAACCTTAAGTCCAGTTCTAGGGGATATTATACCCTCTTCTGGCCTCCACAGACACTATACACATAACAGACAAGTAGGCACATATAAAAATAAGTAAAAATAAAATTGAAAATAAAGTGTGATTGCACAAGCCTACATATCGAGTTCCAGGACAGCCAGGGCTATATAGAGAAATCGTGTCTCTCTTTGTCCCCTAAAAATAAAACCCAGATGTTACATGTGCTAATAGGGGGCTGTGTTGGTCATGACGGCCCCTCTCCTTGCACATTCATGGGATTAGAAAAGGTTTCAAGCAGCTTAGCTAGTGCTCGCTTGCTCTTCTGCATTCTGCTGTTCGAGGCAGCAGCAAGGCCCTCCCTAGGCTCCTAATGCCCACACTCTGAACTTGGATTTTGAGGCTTCAGGACAGTGAGAAATACATTTCTGTTACGTAGAAGTTACACAGTCTGTGGTCTTCTCTTACTGCACTGCAAATGGACTGGAAGACATGTAACTAGGGGCATGGGCAAGAGGAAAATCCTAGTTGTAAAAGATGAGAAGGAAGGAAAAGCCCCTTCCCCTACGTCATACTGCCAGGAATAGCATGTTTCAGATGCTGCAGTAAATATCAAAGAGCTAGGTCACCTCTGAGGCCCCTTAGTTCCTCTGTTCTACAGTGGCTCCCTTCCTTCTTTCCTTCTTTCCTTCTTTCCTTCTTTCCTTCTTTCCTTCCTTCCTTCCTTCCTTCCTTCCTTCCTTCTCTTCCTTCCTTCTCTTCCTTCCTTCCTTCTCTTCCTTCCTTCCTTCCTTCCTTCCTTCCTTCTCTTCCTTTCTTTCTTCCTTCCTCTCTTTTTTTTTCTTTCCTTTTTGACAGTGTCTCACTATGTAGCCCTGCCTGGCCTCAAATACAGGGATCTGCCTGCCTCTGCCTCCCCAGTGCTGAGATAGTCTATGTTTTTTGTTTTTTAATAGCTGAATTGTTTAGAAAGGTAAATAGCCCTCTGTCCTGGGGCAGGGTGGGTGGGTGGGTGGGGGACAAAAAGAAGTTTCTGGGAGAGAAGCTGTGAGATGTTTCTCAGGAGGAAAAGGCTCCGTAAGACAAGAGAGCAGCTTAGCTTGCCCGTGTACTACAAGGCATGTAAGGCTATGGAGGGACCACTCAAGCAAAACCAGTCAACTGGCTACATCATCTGCCATCTCTAGGGTCCTCTTTTTATACTCAGTATGCTGTGAGCGTCATTATAGAAAGATAGGAAAAGCCCTTTTAGTCTCATGGGGGAGGTCACAGCCTAAATATGTGCAGGAAGCCCGAGAGGGCAGGCCCTGCTGAGGGCCACTTTATAATATCCAGGCCTTGAAGGTTGGTGATGGTCAGAGGTGAGCGGGGCCATGGGGAGTTGTCAGAGCTGCTCCTTGATGGGCTAGGCACAAATGAAAACCAACTAGGCAAATCTGCCCAAAGGATACCTTGGAACAAAGCAAAACGAAATGAAATAAACATCAGAACCTTTGATAACTGTGCTTTGCAAAATGTATCCAGAATCTGCTGTCATCCCTTGCTTTTTGGAATATGAACTGGCTCCTGGCACAGTTAGAAAGGGTGTCATTGCTACTCACCATATGGGAGACATACTCGTTTTCTGGAATGGTTTGTTTGCAAATATCACAATGGGTTTTTCTTTCAGGAGATGATACAGTTCTCTTCCCTGAGTAAACAAACACCACACATGACTGCTCTTGACAATGGCTACCCCATCTTTCCCCTGGTTTTTCCCATGGTCTGTACTCCTGAGCATTCCTAGGCTAGCCTTGTCTTAGGTTTGCTATACTGCCAGCTGCCTTAGCCACACAGGAAAGGCTTACCGGACAACCGTTTGTATTACAGTGATACTCAGGGCAGATGACCCAGATGAAGAGATGTTTTTCTGGAGCACAACCATTTTTTAATCAATTGAAAGGGGCCTGTAGGTAGCCGCCCAGCACGACTAATTGAGCTTTTCTACCTGGTTCCCAGCTCTGTGGTTCAATCAGGTGTTGGTTGTAACATTGTGGTGTTAAAGTTGTGTCGTATTGAAGCTGTCAGTTAACTTGTGTTGCAGACTGTTGGTAGTGTGAGAGAGCCTAGGCACAATGTAATGAAGGAAAAGTACATGAATCTCATATTTCCTGCCTTTCTACCCAGCCAATTTTGACCTTGGGCAGAGTGTTGACCATGTGGGACTTAAGGGGTTTCCACAGTTTCTCTGCATGTTGTCACATTATCAAAACAACCAATGAAGTCAATGAAAGATGTGTCACATTGACATCTGTGCTCTTGGCAAACTCTCCTATAAAGAGGTCATTGGATTGGGTCAACAGACTAGAGAAGTCAGTGGTAGAGGATGTTCAAATCCCTGGTACTGGAACTGGAGATAGAGATGGGGGGAGGGGAGGAGGAAAAAGAGGAGGGAAAGGGAGTGAGGGAAGTGGGAGAGGGGGAGGGAATAAGAGAGAGGGAGAGAGAGAGAGGGAGAAGGAACAGGAGGGGGAAGGAGAGAGAGAGGGAGAGGAAGAGGGAGAATGAGGTGATATTAGAAAGCTGACATACAAACCTAGTCTTGTAGCAGCAGCCTCCCGTCTAGCCATCACTAATTGCCATGGTTTGAATGAAAAACCCCTGCCCTCCTTGTGAGCTTGTGGGTTTGAACACTTGGATCTTAGCTACTAATTCTGTTTCAGAAAGTTGTGGTACCTTTATGAGGCAGAGGCTCACTGAAAGAAGTCGGGTGTTAGGTGCAGGTTTCTTAGCCCAGCCCTGTCTTGTGCTTTCTGCTTCCTGACTGTGGGTGGGTTCAGGGAGACAGTGAGGAGTACCTTGTGCTGTGGTCATGTCTTTCCCAACACATCAAGGCTACTGTGTCCTAAAACTGTGAGCCACAGTAAACCCTTCCATCCTCAAACTGCTTCTGCTTATCTTGTTTTTTTAAGTCACAGAATGATAAAAAACATTCAATAGCCTAGGATCTAGCTCAGTGCTGGAAGCTGGAGTGTCCAGTCTTGTTTGTTTCCTGATCTCTCTGTACATTTTCATCTACAGGATGATTCAGGTGCACCTTACCATGCTAGCATTATGTCTTTAGAATGTAAAAAAATGTAAAGGAATGTAAAGAAAGCCCTACAAGTTTAGGATTCCCTGTGGCTTTCTCTCCCTCTTCAGTGTGAGTTCTTACACCCACATCCCTGGCCTCTTGTTTTCTCTGATTAAGTCATTAAATGGTACTGCAGACACACAAGAAGGCTACTCTAGTTTAGTGGAAACACACAGAATGGACACTCTTTTTCCTGTGCTGCCAAGGGTTCTACTTCTTGCAACTTGCCCAGGAGACTGTCTGGCCCCGGAAGCTGCCCTCTCCCTCTCCAGCTTCTCCCTGCTGCTTACCTTCCTCAGGCCTGCTCTTTGCACTCAGACACACATCTTTGTGCTGGGCCAGTACTCGGAGTGTGATGGGCTGGTTGCAGTGTGGACAATGCTTTGTCCGGCTGCCACAGTGGGACTCGTGGACATCCAGATTGCTGAGTTGCACAGCCAGCTCACAGAACTTGCACTTGGCAGGGTGCTGTTGGTTTTCCTTGGTCTGTGGGAAGATGGAGGATATAGGCCCAACCTTGTAGGGAATTGAAGCCAATCAAAGAAAGTATTGGCAAGCATTGGAGGTGAAGAGTGTCCTTGGGGATTAAGAATTCCTTAGACTCATTATTCTAGTTTGCTTTCTGTTGCTGTGATAAACATGATGACCAAAAGCAACTTGAGGAGAAAAGGGTTTATTTCATTTTATACTTCAACACTACAGGCTATCATTGAGGGAAGCCAGGACAGGAACTCAAGGAAGGAATCCAGAGGCAGGAATTGAAGCAGAGAGCATAGGGAAATGCTGCTTACTGGCTTGTTTGGCTTGCTCTCCCTACAATCCAGGACCACCTGGCACAGTGGGCTGGGATTTCTCACATCAGTCGTTAATCAGGAGATTGCCTGTAGACACACTCACGAGCCAATCTGATAGAATTCTTCAACTCAGATTCCCTCTTCCCAGGTGGCCACAGCCGTATCAAGTTAACAAAAACTAACTCATGGATTGTGGAAAGCTCCCCTGTTAAGCATGTATGTATGTATGTATGTATGTATGTATGTATGTATGTATATATGCAAGTATGTACATATGTAGGTGAATCTGCATCTCCATTACTCTCCTAGTCACTCAGGTGGGGAGGTCGTGGTGGAGTGGGAATTTTTATGACTAGCCTCTTTGCTCTTCTACTTTCTCCCAGGTTATCCTGTTTGTCTATAGAGGAGAATTGACTCCAACTTCAACATTCTGCTGACATAGTCCAGACTACTCAAATTGTTCTGGCTAGTTTTATGTCAACTTGACTGAAGCTAAAGTTATGTGAAAGGAGGGAACCTCAACTGAGAAAATGCCTCCATCAGATCTGGCTGTAAGATATTTCCTTACATAGTGAGTGATGGGAGGGCCCATCCCATCCCTGGCCTGATGGTGGTCCTGAGTTCTATAAAGAAAAGTAGGCTGAGCAAGCCGTGGGGGAGAAAGCCAATAAGTAGCATCCCTCCATGGCCTCTGCATCAGCTCCTGCCTCTAGGTTCCTGCTCCCTATGAGTTCCTGTCTTGACATCCCTTGAGGATAAACAGTGATATAGAAGTGTAAGCCAAATAAACCTTTTCTTCCCCAATTTGCTTTCATGGAGTTTCATCAAAGCAGTAACCTTAACTAGCATACAAACATGGGTACAGAGAGATGTGGGCTCATCCCCAGCCCCTGGCCTCTCCTCACATCAGTGGGGCTAGCTGTGCTTCACACTTTGGTTCATGAGATCCTAGAGGGCAGAGACCAAAAGATGCTGCTCCAGTTTTCCTCTAGCGCCTAGCCTAGGGCTCGAGAAGTGTTTGTTGGATCAGCTTGAACCTAAATGGTTGCCTGAGCTTGATTCTCAGAAAGATAAAGCCCCAAGAGACTGACTCAAAAAGGTAGGAAAGAAGACTGAGCTGGGCCTTCCTGCCTCCTCCTTACAAGTCTCTGAAGAACAGTAAGTCTTTCTTGAAATGGATCCTTTGTTCTGCTGGACCCATAGTCCTGAAGTAGCAAGTAGAAAAGGAGAAACTGGGTACAGCCTCAGTGTAGCACAAACCAAAACGGAGGCCAAACATGGAAGGACAAATAACTTACCCACCAGGCCAGGGAAGGCTGGACTCCAGTTGCTGACCCCCCCAGGCCTCTATCCCACCTGCCCACCTGCTCACCTGTGGGTGTACAACTTCCACATGCTCCTTCATTTTTGATTTTGGGATGGGCTCCTCACATTCTGGGCAAAGGACCAGGAAGCGCAGGCAGTGGGCCTCGTGGAGTGTGAAGTGGAGAGAAGCCACATTTCTTTTGCTTTAGGATAAAGTGGGGGAGAAAGAAAGGCACAGTGTCTTAGTGTAAAGCATGAAGCCATGTTGCATACCTGGGGTAAGCTCTTTCCAGGCCTGTAGTATGGAAAAACCAGTGATGGTGGTGATGCGATCCCGCACTGCCAGTGCCAGTGAGACAGAAAAACTCACTCTCATAAATTAAGTGTGAGGTCAGTCTGCAAAGTACTACCCTGCCCAGGAGAGTGGGAGGAAGACGTTACCAGGGCAACAGGCAACTTTCAAGAGTGATGATAGATTTCATTTCCTAGATGGCAGGATGGTTTCACAGATAAGTACTATGGGTCAAGGTGAGTACTTCAAACATGTACAGGTTAGCTGGGGTTGCTGGCACAGGTGTTCATGAGACTGAGACAGGAAGACGGCTAGTTTAAGGCCTACCTATGCTATAGAGTGAGTTCAAGATCAGTCCGGGCAACTTAGTGATCCCCTGTGTTAAAAGGAAACATAGAGCGAAGGATAATGACTTGGAGTGCTTGGTGGCTCTGTGCAGGGTCCCAGGCTCAGTGCCCAGGGTCACTCCCCAGCACCCCTCCACATTCCATCCCCCCAGAGAGGGGGAGGGGAGGTGAAGTTTTATCCTTTTCCAGTTATCTCCTAGGAAAGCCATCATGAGAACAAACAAGCACAGCAGTTGGCACTGCAGTCCTGCCCTGACCATACTTCAGAACCTCCAAAGGTTTCTCAACTCTTAAGAGCAAAAGTCCATCCACTCAGCTGTCTCCTGTCCCTGGGTTCCCCTGCAGCTACCCAGAGAGTGGCTGAGACCCAGTGGAGTCTCCCACTTACAGGGCAGGGTTTCCTCCTTTGACACCCTCATCACCAGGAATGCTGCCTGCCCATTCCACCTGCTCATGCTGACGGCAGCTCGGGAGAAAGGAAGCACAGGATGAATCCCTAAAGGACCAGCTGTTAAGGGGAGGTACCCCCAGGGCCCAGGGATCTGGCTCATGGCCTCACTGCTGTTAGCCTGATCCAGCTGTCCCCACAGCTGCACAGAATGATGTTCCTTGTTCTGTTTGCCCTCTCTGTTCTGCCTGCCTACATACTCCATAGTCCAGAGATCCTGGTATTGTACTTCATCCTCCCCACTGCAGAATTTGTTTGCTCTGCTGTTCCCCTCTCTCTGATCAGCCCTGGAGAAAATGTCTTCTTACCAGTTCCTGCACACTTGGAAGTCACCCTCCATGGTCTGCTCCTTGGAGTACTTCTGTGGAGTTTCGGTTTCTTTGCACACAAGAAAACAAAACTGAAAGTATTTCCCCAGCCTGACTCATAGTGGCAGGGAGGAGGAGACTTCTAGAATTCTCAGCCCAGGGCGGTTCCCAGATCCTGGCAGCTAGACACTCCCAGAAGGCCATTCTGCAGCATGGGCTAGTCTTCTGCCATGCCCCTTGTCCTGTGCTGCCTTTGTGCTACTGTGACCTCCAAGGTGGGGGTCAGCTGCTGTGTTTCCTCTGGACAGCATAACTGCTCCTTCTTTCTTCCCCCTCCCTCCCTGACTGGCTTTGCTTCCATCTGGGTCCCTGCCCCCTTCTCAAACTGTGACTTGACTCTTCCACTCTGCTTTTGTCTGATCTCTCCTTTGATGCTAAGCTTGAGTTTGCTCCCTGGAGAAGCAGCTCCTGCATGCCCTGTACCCTGTGTGAGTTCCAGTTTGTGGTGACTTTGAAAACAAAGTCTGTGAGGAATTGAGCAGTGAGTGTGGGGTGCTAGATGCTCAGGCTACAGGATTTGGGGTAAGTCTTGGGAGTGGCCAGGGATAACTGTGTGTCTCCTGGGCTTGTCCTTTGCTGGGAAACAAAACAAACAAACAAACAATAATGGCAAACAATAATGTAAGCCTAAGGTGACAGGCACCATGAAGAGGTCTTGCTATCCTATCCTCAGCTGGTAAAACCAAGGCACCAAGGGGCTGAATAACCTGCTCAAGTTCCCAGGCAATGTGGCCCAAGGTGTGACTCTTCTGCCACAGCCACCATGCTAGAGGAGCTGCACTCAGATCCAGACAAGATAACTGGGAGCTTGAGTCACCTCAGCCTTCTGGATACTGTCTCCTGGGTGACGGGGTTACACTGGTGTACCCAGGCGACTTTAAGGTCCAGGTGATCCTAGAAATTGCATGCAGAATTGCTGCTGTGTCAGTACATGTTTGTCCCAAGGAGGTGACACAGCCCCAGGGAGTTGCCCAACAAGACCAGCTGACCTCATTTCTTCTTATCTTTGAGGTTCAAAGAAAAATTCTGTTAAAGGCAGCCCATGTCCAAAATGATCACAGTGCATGACGGAAGTCAGTGGACATAGAACGACTTGCTGGTTTCCTGTGCTCACTTTCTTTTTATTCTCCACAGGAAGAAGCAGGGTGTCATTAGGTGAATGAAGATGACCAAAGGGTTTTGGAGTGTAGGTAGTGGTATGGCACTTGCCTGTCATGCATAAGGCTGTGAGATCTCTCTCTCTCTCTCTCTCTCTCTCTCTCTCTCTCTCTCTCTCACACACACACACACACACACACACACACACACTATCACAAAGTATATCCTGGTGACGACTAATACATTCACAAATACAGCCGTATACTGAATAATGATGTTTCTGTCAACAGTGGAACTGTACATAAAACAGTAGCCACATAAGATTACACATGAAGAACTGCAGAAGTCCTGTCATGCAGTGATGCTACACACAGTAGTGAGTCACTTGTACTTGTGTGCCCTTGACATGAATGCAGGGTGCAAGAAAGCAGAGGAGTGTGTGAACATGACCAAGTTGCATTACACACATATATTAAAATGTCAAATAAAAATTAAGAAACAAAATATATAGCACATATTTCGTACAGGGCTGGTTCAGCAGATGAAGGCACTTGCCATTAAATTTGACAGCCTGAGTTCAATCCCCAGGCTGAAGATGGTGGAAGGAGAGAACCAACTCCTCTGAGTTGTTCTTTGACCTTCACACACACACAAATGTTTTGAATATTGTGTACTGTATTTAATAATCACAATAGACAGCTATGTTATTGGCTTGAGAACTTACTATACTATGCTTCCTACTGTCATTATAGAGTGTATCGTCTTTACCTGTAAGCAAACTGTTAGGGTTGGGCAAGTTGTTAGTAGTTCAGCACTTGCTGAGCCTACACAAGGCCATAGAGTCAATCCTTAGCATGGCTAAAGCAAAACAGAACAAAACAAAACAAAACAAATCACAGTACTTTCCATTGGCAATCCTGAAAGAAGAATTGGTTTGTTCTGAGCCAATCTGAATGACTGAGCCCCAGAAGTATAAACAAACAACTTGTTCCCCAATAACATGACCCTTCAAGAATACATGTTACCATTTGAACGTGAAATCTCCTGTCTGAATACTTGTCCCCTAGCTGACTATGCAATTTTAGGAGCTTGTGAAAGTTTTAGGGAGTGGGGCCTCCCAGAGGAAACAGGTTAATGAGGGGTGTGCCTTGGGGATTTATAGGCTAGCCCTGCTTTAGGTCCGATCATTTTCTGTTCTCTGTGCCAACTAACAAACAGCTGTTGCGTGCCCACTGCCACGCCTCCCCACCATGACAGAGTAGTGTCCCTTTGTATGACTTCCTTTCTTTTTGTGGCAAAATACTCTCAACTTAGAAGAGAAAAGGATGACTTGGGCTCACGGTTTGAGGGTACAGTCCATCATGGTGGGGCATGGTGGTCGGAGCATGAGGCCTTGGTTATACTTCGTCTGAGTCAGGAGGAAGACAAGTCCTGGTGCACCGCTTGCTTTCTTATCAGTTCACCTCATCTGGTGGGATGCTGCTGCCTCCACTCCTGGTTGCTCTTTCTGCCTCAGTCAAACCTCTCTGGAAACAAATCCTGAAGTTTGTCTCCTTAGTGACTCAAAATCCAATCACAGCAGCAACTATCCTTCCCTTCAAACTTGGGGACAAAAGGAGGCCTTCCTCACTTAAGTTATAGGTGTATGTTTTACAGGTATATGTTGCACCAAGGAAAAGTGTCTAGTCTTATGTGGTCCTATTCAGAACAGATTACACAAACCTGTCATTGTCCCAAAGAAAGCAGGTGTGGTCATCAGACAGGTGAGCTACATAAAACTGGGCAAACCTTATACAGATCCAGATGTTACTTAAATCAGGCAAGATGTCACCAAAAGGCCTGGGGTGCTATCTTATCACCAGCCTTAAGGTTTAATGGAGTCCAGAGGTCTGTCAACCTGCCATACATTATAAGATTTTGTTCAGTAACCATAAAAAGTGTAACATGTTAATGATAAGTGGCCACCAAAGGGACCTGAAACAGAACAACCCAGCCTGGCTTAGGTTCCATGACTCACAGCATTTCATGTATCAAGTTCACAATGTGACCATGATCCTGTGCTGAAAGATGTTACAAAGAGACACTGTGACCCTCACTTCAGCCATGAGACTGTCATCTTTTTTCCCCCACTTAAAATCAGTGTACTTAACAGGCATCAAAATCAGTGTACTTAACAGAGTCTTGAACTTGAAGCTGACCACCAAAGAAAGATGGGAAAGGTTCAACGTATACCTATTAAAGGAAGGGACCTAGGGACAAAGACTCTGGGTAGTGAGCTTCCATTCCAGGAAACATTCAGGCTACTTTCTTTTTAAAAAGAATGGAGGTATCTTTAAGAGTCCATTTTTCTTGGCTCAGACTTAATAAAAACCTGTCTCTCAGAGACAGAGAACAGAGGGAATCCATGTCCTTTTCCTCCCAGGAAAAAACCCAATTAGCCAATATTGTACTTAAATTTACATCTGTTTTAGCCTGTTTTTCTCATGGCTTTGTGTAGATTATAAGATGACCTCAGACATGGAGAAGGGTTAGATTAATCAGTCCTCATTGGCTAAACTATAAATAAATCCAGATTCTTCTATCGATTTTTGTTTATTTTTTCAGTCAGGGTCTCTTATAGCTCAGGCTAACATCAACATGTTCTCAGTTCGAGGGTGGTCTTGAACTCCTGATCCTTTTATCCCTACCTCCTGAGTGTGGAGATTAACATTAAATCATCATTTCTGGCTCCTAACAAGGAAACTGTGTATCAGTTGTTGAGGCTTGATCTGTTGCTATGTAGGGTAATGCTAAATTCTGTACCTGAAGTTCTAGGCCTATGAGTGAATTCTCAAATTTATCAACTTTTGTTCTACAAACCTTGTTCCTTAATTTAAAACTATTGATCAAGTAAAATGGCTACAGCCAATTATTGGTGGGATTAGAGGCAGGAGGGTTTTTGAGTTACCCGTTGAGTGGGATGGAAAGGAGAGAAGGAAGTGGAGAAAGGAGAAGGCACCATGAGAGGTATAGTGGGTTTGGCCTTAGGCTGCTTGTATTCTAATGCTAAGTGTTGGCCTCCAAGATTTGGAGGCAGCATATAGCCTTTTGGACCTGGCCCCCAAGTTAATTTTGATTAGTGAATAAAGATGCCAGCAAACGATAGTTGGGGAGAAGAGAGATTAGTTGGGGTTTAGGTTTCCCAGGCTAGAGACCAAAAGGAAGGAACAGGAAGGAGGAGAACTACCATGGAAGAAAAAGAATGTGCAGGAGGAAGAAGGAGAGCCACCATGTGAAAAGGCCAAGAGAACATGGCCCAGAGGACTGCTCAACTGGGTCAAGAGCAGTCAGGATAGAACATAGAAATTAATAAGTAGTAACTCAGAGTTATCAGTAGGAAAGTGGATTCTCACAGCAGGGAGGTTAGGCAGTTGTCCAGCTAGTGTGCTGCTTAAAGCATATTAAAATATAAGGCTTTGACAGTCTTTCATTTGGGAACATAAAAGGTCTAAGGTAGGAAGGAACCCTGCAATGGGATTTATTAAAATATTCATGCTACAGAAAGGACAGGTACCATGAACACATGGCCAGGAGAAACAACAAGTATTTGAGGTACACCACTGGTATGGTAGCCAGGTTAGCAGTTAGAAAAGTAGATTAGGGGTTACCCCCAGTAATTGTCAAAGCCAAATAAAATAACCATAGTCTGAGCCTCATTTATTTTTAAGATAGTTGGGAATAAACTTAAACGGTTTGTACTACATGCTGGTGCTCAACATGGGACTTGGTGTTCCACCTAGACTCTGGAACAGGGGAAGGTGAGCATGGGCAAGTGGGGCTCAAGCTCCAGATGCTTACTGTGCCAGTGAGAAACATTGGAAATCTAGCGACTATGTTTAGGGCAGCACATAGTTGCACCTTGTACTGAGAAGAAGCCT